ATGTAAGGGGTCGGTACGTGCGTTTCTAGAAAACATCGTTCTCTGCCTTCATGACAAATCGAAAACAGTCGTTCTTGTGGAGATCACCCGAGGTGTCTGCGTGGAACCACACGTGTACAATGTTGTCGATGCCGGATTAACTCTCGACGCTGCTGGTAGTAAAGTCCCTGTATACTAAAAGTAGGTCCATTCGTCGTTAAAAAAAAAACGCCCTCTCCTTCTACAAAACCCTTCTCCATGGTTTGAGAATTTTACTTTCTGCTACTCCTGATTGGCCGGCTGCCCGTCCGGTTTTCGTTCATCCCTTCCGTCCGCCATTTCGGCCCCACCTCGCCGAGACCATGTTTGTTTACCTACTGCGTCGTTGGACGACCATGAACGTTTTGGATTTAGCAGCGCGTAGGCCGCCCGTTTTGTTTACAAATGTGATATCGAAGTGCTGCCATGACGTGTTGTTGTGCAGTAGGGCGTTTCTATCACCAAAGAAACGATAAAAAGCTACACCGAGTTCCCCGGGAAAAAGGAAGATGTGAAAAACAATTAAATTGTTGCGCATAAAAAAAAAAAAAAATTACGTGCAGATTAACAACTAGACTGTGCGAGATCAGTTATAGCTCTGAAAGGAGCCCTTTGTTTTCTCATAAACCATAATTATACTTCTAGGCGCCGGGTATCCCGAGCTCTTCGCTATTCAACTCGACTGTCTGGTGCCAGCTTTGAGCTTCGAACTCGAGCCGTGCACATAGCGTTCGCTGCATTGTCAGCGTAAAGAGCGGAGTTCAGTGAAAAGTACACGCCCCTGCTGCGTGAGCTCAGGTATTTGGCTTTTGAAGCTTTTATAAACGGCAAAACGTTTTGCGCATGAGGTGTTGTAAATAACAGCGTGTGTAGTACGTGTCTTCCTTTCGTACTTTTTTGTTCGCTCTGGTATACTATATTGCTATAGTATAACGGTAAAACCATAGCGTTATACTAAAATGTTTTCGCTGCTGGCAGCGCGAGATCGGAACTTTGAAATCTCCTTGTGTAGCCCAAAGGGCGCATTTCAAGAGAGGAACGCGCACTGTTTTGCGCCGAACGGCCCGTTTGCCTGTCAGCTGAAGGTGGAAAAGGATCAAAAGTGTTTTTCAAAGCTCAGAATTACTGTATGCATGTTTATTTCGCAAAAGACCGCATAGAATCTCCAGATAATGATCTGAGTAGACGCACAGCCGAAGCCTCAACAAAACTGACATGCTTTTTCAAGATGTGAAGTACTGGAAAAACATAATTAGTAGTAAAACTTCACGGACAAAGGGAACTTAAACCTTAGAGAAAACGCCGAAGCTGAGACCCGAAATCGCACCAAAAACACTGATCTCGCTGGTGTCAGCCTGTGGTCACCCGCCAAGGCGCTGGGCGGTGGGGTCGCCTAGATGGCGCCAGCATCAAAATGAAAAAAGGGGAAGCTTGTTTGGAGGAGGGAAGGAGTGGGAGATTCTCGGGGGAAAAGGAACAAGGCGCTACTTTTCGTGTAAGGAGAAAAGAAATGTCTGCACAGGTTCACCAAGTGTTGCCTGATATTCCACTTCAGCTACGTTTGCCGGAGATCACTTTACTTGTGTCCTTAATTTTATTTTCCAAATTGTACGAAGGCAAATGTCAGACGTCAATTGACCGGTCTGCCACTCATCTGATACCGTAAATACTTCTTAAGCAAATGTTCGTACAAAACAGTGCTTATTTGCTAAGGCCAACATTGTGAGATATTTTTAAATAATACTGTAGCTGGACGATAGTTGATACTTGGATTCAACAGCGCGGATATAGTCACACTCACAGGCTCACAAAAAGGAAACAGACTCGCAGCGCTGACTAACAACTCAGTCATATTTCTTCTTCCTCAAATCGTCATCTTCTTCTCTTTCGCCATTAATGCGAACATTTTTTATTTTTAATGACCAGAAAACGATAAACATCAATAGATAAATAATAAATATATAAATTAAAAAAAACTTAAAAATAAAAGATAATAAAAAAATAGAAATTAAACGAACAAATCTCCATCACTATTGGCGCTTTGATGTTATCTCGAGATATTCCAATTTTTTCTTTGATAAAGCTAAGAATGGGACACTGACGCATTGCATGTCCAACCTGGCTGCTTTTTCAGCTTCGATGATTTCTCGTGTCAGCTGATTACCACTTCTGACAAACGAAAGGTGTTTGCATTGGATCTTGTATTGCGCATGTCTTAGTGACCTATACTCAGCACATCATGATAGAATCCTACAAAGGCGTTTTGGCACTTCAAAAGTTGTGAAAGCGTTCCGCTAAGCATATTATTTTTCTATTTTCTGGCCCTGGATAGAAATGACATCTCAAGTACTGTATCGAATATCCTTTCGATTTTTAAAAACTGTCTGGATCCTTTGGACATAACTCATGAACTACCGGTTGAAGAGTCTCTAAGGTTCTTAGACCTAAGACTGTTTTTTTCTTTCTCATCACACTTATTGGTCCTACGCTCCGAGGATGAAAAAACCACTCGTTCATTATTAATCGGCCCACTCCAAATTAGTTAAGAGAGACGTATAGTTAACATGCCTAACAAATTCCATCAAAAAGTCATGCCCACATACTGTAAAAACTAACTTTGAAGCGCAGAAGGCTAGGTTACTATCAAGGGAGTACCCTATTCACTTTTTATTATCAGTCGTTGAAAAACTCCAGAAAATTAAAAATCCCGATTTTACTCAATGTAAGAAAAGGGACCGAAATCAAAAACCATCGGTTGTGCCTTATATTCACCACATCTCTCATGGTCTTAAAAGGATAGGCAACCGCACAAACATCAACATAGTATTTTCTGCTCCATAAAAGCTCTCTAGTTTATGTAAAAAAGTCAATTCATCATCTGTCAGGACCTTAGGTTGGATCAAAAAGCATTACACCCGTTTTGTTCCGTGCTCGGAAGGGGTGGTTCCTTCCGAGCACGGAGTGCGATTCCTCTCTCATGCGGTGAACAGTATGTCGGGAAAACCGGGAGGAGTCCGAATGACCGATAACGAGGACATCGCTATAACATAAAAAGAGTAATCTCAGGTAACCAAGGCATCCATTGCCGGGACTGCGGATGCTCAGTAGACTTGAGTAACTGCGCTGTTATTGCCAAAAGTGGTAATCAGCTGACACGATAAATCATCGAAGCTGAAAAAATAGCCAGGTTGGACAAGCAATGCGTCAGTGTACCACCCTTAGCTTTATTAAAGAAAGAATTGGAATATGTCGAAATAACATCAAAGCACCGATAGTGATAGGGATTTGTTCGTTTAATTTCCATTTTTATTATTTTTTATTTATCTTTTAAACATTTTAAGTTTAATTTTTTAATTAGTTAATTAATTAATTTTATATTTATTTATTAATGGTTATCGGTTTCTGGTGTTTAAAAATCTAAAATGGTCTCTAACGGCGAAGGAGAAGTTGACGATTTGAGGAAGAAGAAATATATAACTGAGTTGTTGGTCAGCACTGCCAGTCTGTTTCCTTCTTGTGTGACTGTGGGTATGACTGTATCTCCGCGCTGTTCCATCCAAGCATGCATTACCAACTAGCGCAGGCATCCACACTATTACGATAGCTAAAAAAATTTTTTCTGCTCAGCCTAGGATGGACCTTAGAAACATATCTTGAGTATTTGTTTTAGAAACCTTTTTTCCTGTTTTATGCGCCACTCAAGTCTTCTAGTCAGCGATGTTAAAACAAAACATCGGTGTCAATGCACATTAAATAATGAGCACTAAACATGCAAATTCATCTGTTCTCCACGATTTAGCACAATGTTAGTCAGGTTGGCACCCTGATTTTTCACTATGCCTCCAGACATCAGTGTCTTCAATGGTATATATTACTTTTATGAAAACTTAATGTCAGGAGGTAAGCCAGTACGGCTGTAGACGATGGCAATCGTCCTCCTGCGTTAGTTCAGCCATTCTGCTACTCCTGATTGTTCAGGAGTAGCAGAACAATCAGGTTCGCAGCGAACATAGTTCGCTGCGAACACATAGTTCGCTGCCGAACTTGGCAGAACGACGCACATGACCAGATGAAATGTTTTGTAGGAACATCCACAATTTAAGTTCGTAAGAACGTCCAAAATTTAGGTCCACAATTTAGTTCTCAAAGTCACTCAGTACCACTGTGTGTCTGTGTGCCTGGTTGTGCTCAAAAAGGAACACATTCGTATCACAAAATTTAGCAAAAACGGCAAAACACGCCGACACAGCCACGAGCGAGTTGAAACCGAAACCAAACAAATGGATGCCTCCTTATGTCATCCAGTGCGTCGGTCCCCTCTATCCGCCTGTCAGATAACTACTGAGATAAAAGCTCTGTAACCCAAACTGTGCTAAAAAAAAACAAAAAACGCACAGTTGCGTCGTGCTATTAACTTTTTCTATGACTGTGCGTGGAAGTCAAATGTGCAAGGACTTAGGGACCGCCTTTTTACGACTATATTTCCCCTCCCGCCTTCAGATGGCAAAATAGAAGGCTCGAATATTGGTGTTTGTTTTGCAAAAAAACTGTTAGGGGATTCACAGACCATCTCACTTCCGTTGCGCAAAGCCTGAGTACTTTCTTTCGAGAAAGTTAATTAGCTCTCTCGTAAATAGTTGTCAGCATGTAATAACACTTTCGATGAGCATGGTTTGCACGGTCCGAGTAAAACGAATTCGATGGCGCGAAATATATCTTCGAAACGGTCTACGTGGTCAGCAGCAAGGCCGCAACAATGACCGCCGATGTGAGGTCAGTGGAAGACATGTACATTGTTTGGCAGATTAAATCGCAGTTCAAAATCAGGATGCTGAAAAAATTCACAAAAGGGAATGCCATTTACATTTTCCTCGGCAGTAAAAGTACCGGCCACTGTAAACTCTGCGCCGCAAAACTCATATTTTCCTGTTGTTTTCCACTCCCGTATTCTGTGGCGTCCGGCCGCAGCTCGAATGACTCACGTCGACGATGTCTTTCAACACGGTGTCGTCCAGGTCTTCACTCTTGTTTGTATAGAATATTGTGTATTCAATCTTGCTCAGCTGAAAAGAAGGAAACGTTATGAATTGTAGAAAAAGAAAGTTTTCTTTACTCTTTACTAATTTGTATTAAAGACGACATGAAAGCTACTTTAATTTTTTCTGTTTGGGTGAGCTACACGTTGAGAAGGACATATTATAGGGGACTAATCGTCACTATAAGTCGAGTCATTAAATATTTTTTAAACTAACTTTTTCACTAATAAAAATAAACATATGTTTCAAATTAGGAACATGCTGAGCATAGTCTAAAATCACAAAATCAGTACACGAGTGAAAGAACCAATTGTATGAGAAATTTTTCGGGTCCGGTAAACACATACAAATCATACAAGATACGCAAGAACACATAGGAACCATACAATAACCGTTTAAGAACTGTATGAAATATATAAGATTTTCCGAGGGATGAAGGGACAAAGAAAGCTTTTCTTGAAAGATTTCTGATCACTCTAAATATCTATCGTGAAAAGTTGACAATATTTATGTCTGAAAAGGAGGAGGGGCGGAGCTAGTCCTTAACAACTCGTTATGACTGCACAGCCATAATGAGACAAGGAATTAGACAATAGGAAAGCCGAAGAACGAAGCAAACACTGTGTAACTTATAAGACGCGTTAGGCATTTCTTTTGTTGACAGTGGCTAGAGATATACTGGCCGTCTCAAGCATACCTTGCGTTATAAAACGAGTCAGAAAAATAGGCGCCTGCACATAGAAAGCTAAACCTTTCACCGAATGTGCACGGGAGAAGTCAGTTTCAGCGTGTCAAATTACACAGCGTAGTTCTCTTCCTGCAAAAAAAAGTTGAATAAATAAATTTTTCTAAAGTCATGGTCGGGCGCTTTCGCAGACGACCAAGTTTGCGAGGCTATTTACTTGTATCGCCATCTCCCGATTCACGCATCAAGCAGATGACACACTCCGTTGTCTGCTCTTTAGGCCTATCCGAAGATGGCAGCATAAGTAAATAGCGTCTCTAACTCGGTTGTCTGCGAACGAGGTCTACGTCGACTTTGGTAAGGTTTATTCTCATTTCATTTTTTTCAGCAAGAGAACTGCGCCTTGGGCTTTCACGGGGTAAGGGCAACCTTCCCAGTGCACAATCGGTGAAAGCTTTAGCCTCCTATGCACACACGCCTATTTTTTCGGCTTGTTTTTTACAACGGAAGGTCCGCTCGAGACACCATATAGGCAATGGCATCCGAAGAAATCTAGAGTGACTCGTCTTCTTGATGGAACTTCCGTGGGTGTTTTGCTTTATGCCGGAATTTCAAGGACTGGGCAAAGTAAGCGGCCAGTATCTATACAGTAGGCTACTCAGAGGGTCGGGACGGTTTTACAGCTGCACGGAAGCAGGCAGGACCACTGCAAGCTATGAAGCCCTTCGGCGCGTAACTCCGGCAAAGCAGTCCATTTTCGAGAAGTCAACTAAGGGGTGCCATCTTTTGAGGAAAAAAAGAGTGTACGACGCTCGCATCGATGGCTAGGCGTAAACATAATCGACGATAGTTTGTCTGGTGGGGTGAAAATTAGAGCATGATTAAAGGAACTTCCAACCCTACATGTCACATGTAGGGTTGGAAGTTCCTCGGTTTTCTTTTTCCTGGTGCGACTGTGGTCGTTGAAAAGCAACAGTTTATTTTTCTACTGTGTTGCTAAACACTGGCTTATCAGTTAACAAACACCGTGCTAACTTTGAGATTAATCGCAAAGTGAGCACCGGTTATAAAGACCGATTATAACAAAGTCCGTTATAACGAAATAGCGGCTACAGAGAAGCGATCACAATTTTTCTATTCCCTTTTGCACTTTTTGCACTTCGTTATAACCGAAGTCGGTTGTAACGAATTTGGTTATAACCAAATAGTGGATATAGCGGCGTGATTTCCGATTCCTGTTGGCTTCGTTAAAACCGGTCTCGACAATATGCCTATCCACAGTTTTGAGACTAACTCTCTGCAGGAATCATTTCGCAGAATCAAACTGTTGTTTGTGGGCACCAAAGTAAAGACAAGATGATGACAGTGATGATATCTCATTCAATGTACACCAAGAAACATGTCAACATGTATATCGACGCGTAAACTTCAGTATACGTCAAAGGGCTGTCATTTAATGGAGAAAATGAAATAGACCACCATCCGAGAAGGGGAAACAGAACTGCTGCTGCTCAAAGGTCGAAGTCGCTACCTTCGGATAAAAAGAAAACCCTGCTGCTCCATGGTCTCAGTCCTCACCCACGAAGAAACTGGCGGGGGCCGTTATCGAACGTTGGGACCCCCGACACTTAGAGGTTGATGAAAGTTTTTGTTATAATATCGGGTGTTTCGGATTCACATTACCTTCGAGAAGCGCCACAACTAATAAAGTATCTCCTTCCTCACGAGGGAGACAAAAGCGGATGCAAATTCCGCTGCATAGTTTAAATTAATTAACCAGCACACGCAAACCTTGGCTGGTTTGACAGGTAAAGCATAAACTTGCATTTTATTACCATTAATATTACTGATAATTTCCTAGAGAAAGAATGCACCCTATTTTCAAGATTAATCTTTTGCAATCTCTTGAAGCAATTTCATGATGTACGTTTAGAAACTAACCATTAGAACTCGATGCTCGCTTAATGTTATGTTAGAAATTAAAAACCTTTTTTTATTTTTCCTGTGCCACACTACAGTGATAATTTATTCACGATCACTTAGCCATGCCAACGTTCTTGACCACGTGAAAGCAAAGCGTTAAATAGCTCACTCACCCTTTTATAAAAACCCACGCGGGATTCCTCAGTTGACATGGAGGCCAACGCGTGTGCCTTGATCAATTCGTCAGTGATAGCCTTTGCTTGCTCCATGCCGTACATTAAAACCTGCAGCAAAGAAAACGCGAACTTCATGAACGGCGATGCACACAGTACACACTGTTTAGTGCGTAATGGAAGCCACCATTACGGCACACGAGGTGCGATCAAAACGTTTAGAGGCCAGTTTCGTAGCATTGAAATAAAAGGCAACACGGCGACGCGCGCGCAGCTGTCACAGGCAAGGACCTTCATGTGTCAATATGCGAAAGGGCGTCGTTCTGTGAGCATTTTGGAGTTGCGCTGCACGAGCGTTTCTGACCACGCGAACGAACACGTCGGCAATTTCAGCCTGAGCTGTATCCAGAACGAAGAGCGAACATGAGCCCAGCGTCAAACTCGCGGAAGCTGGAACAAATGCCTTAACATGAGTCGGCAGACTTATCGCCAAAAAGGAAACTAGGCGCTTGCGCTGCAAGAATAACAGAGCATCACCACGAAGAGAGGTCGAGGAAAGTCGCTCTACCTATCTTCGTCTTCCAGGCGCTTTCATAAAAGTTTATGCGTTTATAACTGCGAAAACGTTCGTGACCATTAACCGAAAATCACAGAATGTCGGGTTTTGTACCGTGTTCGCGAACACAATCTGGAGACATCTCTAAAGGAAAGCAACCCTTCACTTCGGTGAGCGAACGCTCGCTAAACTCGCCTCCCCTCCCGTCCTCTCCAGCGTTTCAACTACGTTCCTTTGCATTAGATAACAGGCCTAAAGGGCTGTTCATACGGGTGGTGCACAAAAGCACCCGATGTCGAAGGCCCCGAGTCAAATGCCCCGCGGCCTTTTTTCCCCGGTTTCAAAAGCCTTAAGCGCGAAACACATGCGCGTCAAAACTGTCCGATCCGGCGTGCGAACTGTCGGAAAGATGGCTGCTACGAATCGCCGCGCAAGACGGTTCGAGACACATGGCTTCCGACGCGTCGTGGCGTCGCTCCATTCAGCTCCGCCCAGTTTTGGGTGTCCCTCTACCGAATGGATGGATAGATGCTAATGGACATGTATTTATAACGGGCGGTAGCTCGCGCCACCTATCCTAGATACCTCAAATACTCCCCTCTCTCTCTGTTTTTCGGTCTTTACAACAAACACAATATTTTAGAGCGCAGCTCTTTGGCGCCCGTTTCTGGCTTGAGCGGCATCGCCGTCGGCGTAACCAAGGTCACCCCAAGGTCACGTGACCCCCCAAGGTACGTGACGGTCACGTGACCCCTCCCAAGGTCACGTGACCCATCCCAAGGTCACATGACCCCTTCCAATGTCACCTCAAAGTCACGTGACCCCCAAGGTGACCCCCACGTGACCCCCCGAGTTCACGTGGCCCCCTCCCCGAGGTCACGTGACCTCCCCCCCCCCCCGGAGCATATTAAAGAATGAGGGGAGGAGAAGGAGGAGGAAAAGGCGGGGTCTACCCTCCCCTCAGTACCCTTCCCTCCACCTCCTCAAGAACTGCGCTCCACTTCGGCGTTACAGGGAGTTGTAAATGGCTTTAACTTTTTTACTACATTCTATTAATGTGTCTGTGTTTACTTTTCTGCTCAACATCACTTATTCGCGAAAGACCGCAGCGGACCTTAGGAGCCATCCTAGCGAAGCGAGTACTGCGTACAAACCACGTGACTACGTACCGCACGCATTGCTGCGTCTCTTCCGAAGTTCACGTAACACTCGCACGACATTGGAATGGCTCGTAGCGTCCGCGCTGTCTATCATAAGGTGAAAATATTCGGGTTTCGACGGCCTCAATCGGTCCCAGAAGGCCGGCTTGCTATGGCGCGCGAAATGATCAGCTCGTTTTGTGCGCGCGGGAAAAATCCCCGATGGCGTTCATTTCCTTCACAACGGCGACTCGCGTCGCGTGACGCACCGCGCACCGCCACATCCACTTCCCCGAGACAAGAGCGCCTCCTCGCCCGATCGGCCCCAAAGTCACGTGACAACATGACCTTCGCGCCATCCGTGCTACCATTGGTTGCGGCCCTCCGAAAATCGGACAGCAGTGCGGCGATATCTAGCAAGTTGGTCGCATGCCGGCGCCGGACGGAGCCCCCGTCGGATGCTCTGGTGCGACGAAAACCCTAGCCTCCGAACGTCGTTCCGGCGGTTCGCACGTCGAGTCGGACAGTTTTGACTCGCATGTGTCTCGCGCTTGTCTGGGCGAGTGTGTGCGTAGATGTGGACTGCTTTGAGGATGCGTTACCCCCAAGAAGCTTAGTAGGCTTAACGAGCCCGACGCACATGCACATGTTAATAAAAAGCTGGAAGCTCGATGACGCGCCAAAGGTTGTAGTTAGAATTAATGATGACCTAATGTGTGTGTGTGTGTGTGCGTGTTATATGATCATGTGCGAGTTGTACGAACCGGCAGCCATCCCCATGAAAACAACAGGCGCCGTCAAATTTATGGGAACGGCGGACCCAGTGATACATCTTAGCTATTTAGCCGGCCAAAAAGCTTTAACCGGAGTGTCTTACCTTGTAAACAATATTAGCGGTACGCGATGAAGATATGAGACTGAATTCTGCATTGTTTGCACGGGCTCCGTAAAGTGTGCTACAATTTCGAACGCATACCTTGCGTAATTTAGTCGTCGTCAGCTCTATTCCACGTCAGTTTCTTGACTCAACATCAAAGGCTATTATAAGTATAGCAGACTGAAAATCTGACAGAAAGAAGGAAGCCGTGAAATATCGAGTGCATTAAATGCATCGAAAAATCCCGGCAGAATCATCGGAGTCGCTTGGCACGACTCCGGCGAACCGGCCAAGCGGCTGGCTAGCTTTGACGGACGCGATATTGTGATCTGTCGTTTTTCCGTCGACATTTGTGAAACGATTAGAAAAAAAAAATTCTGGTAAGCACTCGTTGCTCCCATCTTTTTCTTATTCTCGAAGATATAACCGCTGCCACAAATTGCTGTTTTCAAGCACTAGATGGATGAATCGCACCGTCCGATAGTATGACTGGTACCACCCAGGAAGCCGAAATGCAGTGTTGACACGATGCAGTTGCCACAGAGGTGCGCTTGCACAAAATGTGGCAGTATGTCCGGGCGAGCGCTGGTCCGTGCTGAACCGCGCTAGACTTCAAAACACGGTCGTTCACGCACTTCTCGGCGCGGCATGACTTGGCGTAGTGGCCGACGAACGTCGGTCATCGCCGGCGCACGCCGCGTTTCTCGATGTTGGAGCATAGAGCTATTACAATAAACGCTAGAAGTTCAGGTGGCGCTAGTGTGCTGTTGACATTTGAAGGAGACAGCGAACAGTCTAAATGTGACTTCCGGTAATGCATTCCTATGGGAAACGCAAATACGTTTTCTCTCCGCGCTCGATTATAAGAGCAAATATTGCTTAGTCTTGCTTCAGAATATAAAGTTTGGAACGTTTTACAATCGGATGTAGAAAAATATGGGCCAGTTTAAGTTTTTTTTTAAATTCATGGCAATAAACACCGCGCTAAAATAGCCCAATGCACATGTATAATACGTGTTGACGTTGGAGACTGCTATTATAGGGAAGCAAATCAGCTTGAGAAAACACCGAAAGGATGCAAATATATGCCAAATCAAAAAATAAAAACAGAAAACAAGAACGAAGCAAGGAGTTATGAAACGAAGAACACCGTACTGGATTAATAACGAACTGTGCAATAGTGACAAACTGCGTTTCCGTCATCTCAATGCTATTGCAGCTTCAATAAACCCTACGCACTTTTGAACTGTTCTTTTAGAGCGCAGCTCTTAGGCGCCCGTTTGTGGGTTGAGCGGCGGCGGCATCACCGTCGGCGTGATCGCGCATTGCATTATGGGACGTGTGACGTCACGAAAGTTGCCCTCGTGTGTGTAACCCCCGAGACGGCTACACTCATGAGGGTAACTTTCACGGGGGTAACCCTCACGGGAGTTACCCTTACGAGGGTAACCCTCATGACGATAACCTTCACGAGGATTATCCTCACGAGGTTAACCCTCACAATGGTTATCCTCATGGGGGTTACCCTTACGGGGGTTACCCTCATGAGGGTAAACCTCACGGAAGTTAGCCTCGTAAGGGGGTTAACCCTCGTGAGGGTAACCCCCGTGAGGGTTACGACTCACGAGAGTGACGTCAAAACGTTACCCTCGTGACGCCAAGTGTGACGCCATTATGGAAAACTCGTGAAGTGTGACGTCACGTAACGTATGACGTCACACGTGACGTCACATGAGGTCCACAACATCTAACATTGCCAATATTTCCGCTAAACTGAGCGGGGAAGGCGGAGGCGCTTACCCTTCCCTCCGTACCCTCTCCTCCTCCTCCTCCCTAAAAGCTCCGCTCCAATTCGACGTTACAGAGAATTGTAAACGTCTTTCATGTTTTTTGCTTGAATTGATAGCTTGTATTGACATATCATGCTGTACAACATAAACCCGGGACTCAATTTTTGCTAACTTAAATGCCACTCAGTAATAATAATAAAAAAAACATTAACTAAATAAATTACACTTTTATAATGTGAATAAATCTAGATATTACCTGTTATGAGTAAATAAACTACGCTGATTTCTATTAGTCCCTGGCAAAGAGAAAAATATCACGTACGTTTTTTCCATAGGAATACACAGGAAGACTGGAAAAGTAGACTGTTTGCTGTTAGGATCCATTTGCAACCGGAAGTTCCCTAGGCACTAGCGCCAGCTGAGCCTCTAGAACTTATTGTAATAACTCTATGTGTCGGAGTATAAAGAGCCCTAAAAGCGACACCGACAGCCCCAAATTGTATTTGTTATTTTATTTGTTAGGCGATCCTGTCTGGTGTCAGAAGACTAACCAATCAATATTTTGCTACCGCGTCACATGAAATTAAAATAAAGTAAAAAAAAATGCAACTGCTCGTAACCGAAACCTAAACTTGGCTGGGGAGGAAAAATAATAGAAAAGGAGAGTGTTGCCAAAAAATCCCATGACTGAGCATGTTTTTTTTTTGTTTTCTTTTTTTCGATCAACATATTTGCAGCTTGTAGAAGCC